TAAAAAAAACTCCAAAAATAAAATTTGAATGTATGCATTGGAAATACTCTTAACAACCCTCAATGGAAATGGTCTTATATCTTCATTTCTTTCCCTTTTTTTCTATAAGAAAAATATTGTGTACTAAACAAATATCCAATATCATTTATCATATCTTACCCAAAAATGTCAACAGAAATACAAATTACCCAATATCTTAAACGAAATGTTAAAAGTACATATCTGACGACAAAAATAAAAAAGGGAATGTTTATCTCAACTTTTTGTTCGTCATTTTGTGATATCAACAGGAACCACAATATCTAGAAAAGTCTAGCAAGTCGATTAGTAGGTCGGAGCAAGAAATTATATAACTGTTCCATTATTTACACTTGACAAGCTTCTCGTGCTGTATTGGAAGATTATCATGTTAGTGTCGATGGGAAGCATGTCACTTCCTTCCCTTACCCAACTGTAAGCAATGTTTTCTCCAGAGGTATCTTGAGCTCTCGAGCAATTGGCAAGCTCCATCACTTCCTCATGACCAAGTTGATTGGTATCCTTTCTGCTGGTAACCATTCTGCCGAGCGAATGGCTGTGAGAAAGTCATCGATGCAACATAACCTAGTTAAATCTTCTAATTAAAGTAGTAGTGGCTCGGTTCTTTCTTGCACTGGTAAGTTTGATGGTTCGGTTGATACAATGTGATTCGAAGTATAGTCTAGTGTTTAAGTTGTTAATCATGCTCAGCTTGGTCTTCTCAAGAAACATTTTAACTCATCAAAGTGACATAATAAAAAGACTATTTGTAAACTTATTAAGCAATAATAAAGCAACTGATCTGATTTTTTTTCTGAGCATAGTGAAGATATATTTCTGATGATAGATAATACGTGTAAACTGGTGCTTACTTGTATTTAACTCCTGGTTACTGTTCTAACAGAAGGTGATAAACCAAGTGGGATCAAAGCATCAGGACGCGTCATTTGAGAATTGAACTTTGTTTGGCTCCTAGTCATTCGTCGATTGTACACCAATAACTTGTGCTTTGTGTCTACTTGTCTGATCAGTTCTTTAGGTCCCATTGGACTCTCTGGTTCTTGTTGCTTTCTTCTTTTGCTCAGTAGATCCCAAAGCAGTTTCTCTTCGTTTTCTCGGTTTCCCTCTATGCCTAGACGCTACATGGACAGCAGTGTTAAGAAACCTTTTTAGTGTTTAGTAATCATTGAGCTTCACAGAAACAAAAACTTTTAATTTTGAGATTACCTTGCCGGTAATAGAATGTTCTGCTTGCTTCTTCTGACTCACAGGTGGAAGAAACCTGCAAGTTCTTGTCATTCTCTGAACTTGATCTTCAGATTTTTTCAGCCTTGATAAAGCGTCGATCTTTGTCTCTTCTGCAAGTCTAATCCTTTCTCTAGCATCATGCAGCTCTCTCCTTGTATCTGTGCTTGCTTTCTCCATTTCCTTCAGTATATTCATCAGTTGCACACAAGGGCCAAGTTTTATTTCAGCTGCGAGGTTGCCTACGTACTTGGTCATCGGGCTACACATATTCTTTGCCAAAGCCTGCATAAGGTCATTGACACCACTATCTACTGAACCAAGAACCTCATTGATGTTATCAAATATGATGCGGAGGAGCTTCACTGTGACAGGGAAAGTGTCATGGTTTTGGCTATGAATTGAGCTTAGGTGATAAAGAGCTTTCTGTATGAATTCTTGGAAGAAAGTTCTGCGATGGTCAATCATCTCCAGAATGTCATCCTGATGTGAATTCACTTGTGTTTCAATGTGCCTAAGCATATGGACAAGCTGTCTCAATTGCCCCTTATGCTTGTGCAAGATCTCTTGTCCGGCTGATTCTGCTTTAGCTGCATAGCTTTCTTCCTACAGAAACAGAATACAGCAAGTGAACTTCTGAGGAACAAATCCACATGGAGTAGAAAGAATTCTATATCAACTGCAAGTTCCAAAACCATCATGAAAGGTAGATATGGTTTCCTAAACATCTTGTGATGGTATTGATTAAAATGGCAACAGAAAGTATCGAGAATCCTGCATCTAAACAATCCTAAGCATTGGTTCGCATTCAATCTATAGCAGAGCTAGGCAAATATGTACAAGGAACCACCAGAATGAAGCTTAACACATTACAGTTTCAGAATCATACTAAATTGGTTTTTTCATTCAATCTATATCAGAACTAAGCATACATCATGATGAAAATAACCTTTGAACTGCGAATTCGATTGTTCAGATCATCAGACCGAGCTCCATTTTTGGTAGTATCCATATGATATCTTTCCTGGTGAAAATAAAGTAATGATCTGAAAATTTCCTGCTAATAAAATGCATGATTCTACGAGAAATGTGAATGAATAACTTACAGTATTGAAGATAAATGTGGAGTGTCTCCCTTCGTTCTCCATCTCCGACGTTTTCAGCCCAACAAGCTTCATCAATGGAATCGCCAAAGAATCGAAAACTTCCCCTGCCTTTACAATAAGGAATCATCTCTCAAATTCGTTGCAAATCTCAGAATCCGTTCAAATCGAACTTGAATCTACTTGAAAATCGAATCTACCAAAGCAGAGAATACGATTACATCTCTCAAATTCGATTCAATCAAAGCTTAAATCTACTTAGAAATCGAATCTAGCAAACAAGAGAAGAGGATCGGTTTCTTACTTCGACGAGACCGAATGTAATCTGCGATTGGAGTTGATGGTACGCCATTTTCACTTTCCTGTTGCGATCGACGAGCGTCGCGAGCTTATCTCGGAGATTAGGCGATACTTCTGCTCCGGCACTTTCCTCCGCCGTGTATTGCGCCGGAGAAGTCTGGAATCGCCGTGGGTATAACACTTTTGGCGGGAACTCCATTGAAGGATCAGAAATCTGAAGAGAAAGGATTCGAATTTCAAACAAGTCGTACTCAATTCCCTTTGTTTTCTTCGTTCAATTCGAATTTCAAACAGTCGTTGTAAATATCTTAATGGCGTCATAAATTGACGTGGTGCAATATTACTGGCTCGTAGCATCTGGGCTGCACAGGATCAATGGGCTTATTATTATTCTCCACGATGCAATGCAAAGTGGGTCCAGTGGACCGTCTTCTTCCGGAAAAACAATCTACGTGATGGAATTGGTCAGCATCTGGGTGCACGGATAAATGCGTCACACTTGATCGCTGGAGTTGTAATCCTCTACAACGAAATGCATATTGGGTCCAGTACACCTTTCTCTTCAGCGGAAACAATTGTGTCTCTATGCAAACAAACACACATACACAGATGCTATACATATCCCGGACCATAAATTATTAACACGAATATTCTTAAATAAAATATATTTTTATAATGTTTTGTGTAACTTTTGTGGCATTATGTTCTGGTCACACCCTCACAGTGTGTCTTTTGTTTTCATTCTCTATGAAGAAGTACGAAAGCTTGTTTCGAAGTTCTAAATCCATTTTATAAATGTTTTTTGTGTGAATTTTTTTCTGGTCAAACCCTCACAGTGTCTTTTGTTTTCAATCGCTATGGAGAAGTATTTACGAAAGGTTACTTTCAATGTTATAAACTCGAGTGATTCAATTTGGACATATATTTGTAGACGAAATGAGAACTCTTCGTGTATAACAAAGCCAAAAGGGTTAAACCAAAAGCAAAAAATTAGCCAAACAAGACTAAATTAAAGACTCCTAACAATAATACTAAATTAAAGACAACAAACAAGTAAACGACGAACCAACCCTAATACCAAACTAGAACCGCAACTCCTCGCCACCGCACCCACCGCGTCCAGACGCAGACGATCCGGTACAGCTAATACCACCAACCAAAGCCGCAGCCGCAGCAACCGCATTGTTCCGCTCCAAATGGCAAAGCTGGCGCAGCTTAGTGGGAACATACCAAATAGAGAGACGAGGATGAGCGTTAAAAACTGCGTCTATATCCCAACCATGACGACATGCGATGTCAACGAGTGGCTTATAACAAGCTTGACGCCACGAGCCAACGTTCTCGCCGCGTTCTTTAAACGCTCTTCGAAGAGCGTTTGAAGCTTCTTCGTCTAGGCAGTGGAGAGCGTAACAGTGAACATAATGTCGCATTTTTGGTTTGTTTATGTAACTTGCTCCCGATTTCTTCGCGTACCTAAACACTTGGTTCGTCACCTATTCAAATATTTCCACAAAACAATTATCACTATCTTATAGATCAAAAAAAAAAAAACTATAACTATATCCCATATAAAAATAATTTGTTTGTTTTAACGAAAAAAATATAACAAATTATTGATAACAAAAACTATAACAAATTATTTATTTTTTCGTTAAAACAAACAAATTATTTTTATATGGGATATAGTTATAGTTAAAAGAAAGGAAATATCATATAACCCTTGTTAATTATTCTAGACAATAAAAAAAAATACTTGTACGATTCGAATAAAAAAATAGAGAAAAAAAACAATGAAGTTAGATTTTTGTTTTGTTTTAAGTTATCTGTAAAACTCAGATTTAAATAACGTGCATCTGTACAAGCAAAGGCACAGGGCTCATGGATTCTGTACTATCATCACTAGAGGGAAGAAGACTCTTTATTACCCGCTGAACAATAGCCTGTTTCCAC